TCTGAGCTGTGGCTGAGAGCACGGTCGACATATGCGTTAACAACACTCCTCTTGTACCTGTCAGGGCAGTCGCTGTTGGCATTTAGGCACATTCCTATGTTTGTTTCCTTAGTGTAGACTGCAGTGTGGAAACCTCCGCCCTTTTCCATGACTGTTACATCTAGAAAGGGCAGCTTCCCATCCTTTTCCATCTCGTAAGTGAAACGCAGCACGGAACTCTGCTCAAATGCCTCCTTCAGCTCCTGCAGATGTCTGACATCAGGTACCTGTGTAAAAATGTCGTCAACATACCTGCAGTATATGGCCGGTTTCAAGTTCATGTCGACTAAGATTTTTGCTCGATGGTACCCATGTAGAAGTTTGCAAACAGGACACCTAGGGGAGAACCCATGGCGTCCCCATCTACTTGCTTATACATGTGCCCATCCGGGCTCAAGAAGGGTGCCTCTTTAGTACAAGCTTGGAGTAGTTTCCTCAGAATATTTTCTGGCATGTCAAGAGGAGTACAGGCTGGATCACGATACACTCTGTCGGCTATCATTCCGATTGTCTCGTCCACAGGTACGTTGGTAAACAGCGATTCTACGTCCAACGAGGCTCTTATCCCTGTGGCCCGTGTGCCCCGCAGTAAGTCAACAAATTCCTTTGGAGACTTCAGGCTGAAGGCGCAAGGAACATAAGGAGTCAGCAGGCCGTTGAGTCGCTTCGCCAGTCTGTACGTGGGTGTGGGTATCTGGCTAATGATTGGCCGAAGTGGGTTTCCAGGCTTGTGCGTCTTGACATTTCCATACGCATATCCAGGTTTATATTCCCCAATGACCTTTGGCAGGTGGAGTCCGGATTTCTTGGCGTTCACAGTTTCGATCAGTTTGTTGACCTTTGCTTTTAATTCGGCTGTAGTGTCCTTCGTTACCCTTTGGAACTTAGTTTGGTCAGAGAGTATGATGTTCATTTTCGCCAGATATTCGTCTTTTTTAAGAATGACATATATTGGTGACTTGTCACCTCTCCTGACAACTATCTCCTTGTTCTCACGAAGGCTTTTAGCTGCCGCTTTAAGCTCGGGGGACAGTATGGTGCTTCTGTAGTTGCCTCGATTCTTTCCTCCTTCTGCAATAAGTTCTGCTTGTAAGGTATCTTTGGTAGTGACCTTCTTTTGTGTCTCGAGGTCGAATATGTCGTCCAACAGAATTTCCAACTCTACTTTCCGGGCCATCTCACTCGGTCTGGACATAACATGACAGTTTATGCCCAGATTTAGGAGAGTGACTTGGTTCTCAGTGAGGTTAATTCCTGCAAGGTTCAGGAAGCCATCTCTTGGTCGTGGAATTGCCATAGGTCCTCCATATAATGTTGTTAGTTTCTTGATAATCCTTGTTTCAGTGCTGAGGTGATGTTGGTCTGTGAGGATGTCGAGGTGTTGTTCAATGCGGGTACGGATACTATGGTCGATGTTGCTATTTCTCCACTCGTTTGTAGCATGAAGTAGTTGCGTTTTGTTGTCTTTGATTTCATTCTCTGCCTTGTATATCTGATCACGAATCAGATCCTGGCGATATTTTATCGTGAAGGCTTGATTCCTTGCTGCTGGGTCGTGCGCTTTAATATTAGTATATTTTGGTAGCAAATATACTAATATTAAATATAATATATTAAAATATTATTAGGCTAATATTATTAGGCAAATCGGGCCTTGCATAGTAGGCTGAGAAGTGCGTTCTGGCTACTAGGTACGATATATATATATATATATATATATATATATATATATATATATATATATATATATATATATATATATATATATATATATATATATCATGGTTACAATCAATGTTTTAATGTATGAATATGTGAAAACAACTTTATATTGTGCACTGCCACACAAGCGCATGGATGGGTTCATAAGTGATGCAGCTTGGAAGTAATTTACATAAAACTGTTCTTCATTCTTTAAAATGGACAAGCAAATTTTGGATAAATTGTTAGGATGTCGTCCAGAACACCTGAGTCAATGAAATAGTTACACAGTTGGTGATACAATAGCCCAGGAGGTCTAAAATCTTTTACGGTTTCACATTCAACAATATAGTGTTTTAGTGAATGCATTAAAGGTTTACCACAGGGTTTACAATCTGAATATTTTGGTAGTGGCTCAGCCTCACTAACCTGCCAGATGTGTCTATAGCCAAGGAGAATTTGCGCAATGACTACATCACATTGCCTACCAAGTGATGTGGTAGAGGCTGACTCCATTCACAGTTTCAAGTGTAGATATGATAGAGCCCAATAGGCTCAGGAACCTGTACACCTGTTCATTGACGGTTGAGAGGCGGGACTAAAGAGCCAGAGCTCCACCCCCGCAAGCACAATTAGGTGAGTACACGAAGTCGGTGGACGTGAAATGTTCTGCAATGAACCCGTAGAGTAGCATTTGTTTATTTGTGTATTACTTTATTCACTCGTATTCTTGAAGATATCCTCACAGTATACCCAAAATTTGCCAGTGCAGGCTATTAAACACATGGCTCTGTATGACTAACCATCCTGCGAGATGGGGACTTGTATTACCACTGCTACCTTATTCAATCTTGTGTTGTTGATATCCTCAAAATGCATCCGGAGTCTGCCAGTGCAGACCGCTTATCACATGCCTCTGTATGACTAACCATTCTGTGTGATGGGGATTTCTTAGCATCACCTAGTTAGCTTTTTTGACACACTGTACTCCACTTCATATAGTCTAGGGTAGCTACACTAATGCAGATGTACCTAATATGTTAATAAAAAAAATTCAGACAGTGGCATGTAAAACGCACGTTCAGATGAAAGATTTACATACTGGGTGCAACCTTTTGGTTACAGTGATGGAGATAGTGTGAAGTAAAAATAATGAATTTTTGGGATATGACTGCAAAGGTGTGTATGGGAGATATAGGGAGGGTGTTAGTAGGAGGAAGTGGGATGGTGTATGTAGGGCGGGAGGAGATGGGGGGATATGTGTGGGTGGAGATATGAAGCGTGTGTGTAGGAAGGAAGATTAGGAGGGGGGTTGGGGAGGGTTCGTGTGTTTTGTTGACATGTGGAGGGCGTGAGTTATTAATGTTAGTTGTAACAATGTTAATTTTAGCAATGTTAATTTTAGTAATGTTAATTTTAGTAATGTTAATTTTAGTAATGATAGTTGCAGCAATGTTAATTTCAGGAGAACACACAACATGTTCATCATTACAAAACTCTCCCAGCCATTATCTCTTCCAATAACCACATTATCACAACGACGGCTGGCAAATTTCCCGCCAGTTAATCAATACCAGGAGTAGTGTCATTCACCCACACCAAGCTTCAATCAGCCACCACAACCCGCTTGCTCCAGGCACGATATCTGTTCCAATGTGCGCGTCTGGCCATGATACCCCAGAAGGAATGCTTGCAAACACCACACATTCATTACAATAAGTTACAGGAGTTTTTAAAAATGTTTTTATTTACGAATAAACTAGTTGAATTGTTTAGAAAGACTGCCTTCTAAGGCTGTGTGGAAAGTCAGAAGATTGGAAGAATCTGTAGCCAGTCCGTCCTAGCGAATGTTCCCAAAGTCAATAACAATAAACTCAAGTACAAAATTGCCCAAACCTAACCTAACCGAGGACCCACGAATACGGGGATGGGACATCACTTCAATTTTTCGAGTCGCTGTGATTTTTTGTACATCAGTTTTGGGCCTTTGGGGATTTATATGTCAAAATGCGATGTATTTTAGAGATTCGAGAAGACAGATTGTCCTGAATAATGATTCGTATTTAAATGTTCAAAGTCATATCCGCAATGCTAGAATGTTGCCAACGTATATATTTTAAGTGACTGAAAGTATTTAACAAGTTATTTATATCAGGAGAACTAATATTGCTGAGCATTTGAGTTACTGTAATTTTTGATGAGGAAATTAACAATTTAGAAACGTGAAGAAACGCAGAAATCGCCATTTCTCTGATAGTTTCCATTAATGTTTAGCAAATTTTTCAGATAATGAACATTGTTCCAGGCGCTACAAAGTTAAAGTATGTTTTTTCTCATTATCTTTAAATATTTAGAATTTGATTTATTTTCATAGATTTATAATAACAAGTAGAAGCATGTGGGGAAGATTTTTAAGACGCACATGACATCTGTGGATATGGAGAAAGCCTGTTGCACAAGGCAGAGGCTGGAGCTGATGTGTTAGGCATGCAAGGTGTGGTTGACATGCTTCTAAATACTGTGAAGGGGCTTTCTAGGAAGTAAAGCATTTATGTGCAAGAGTTAAAAATATACAGATTAATGCTATGTGAACCAAGGAGTGCACAAGGGTCATGTGTACAAGGGCAGTATATACAAGGGTCGTGTATACAGGGCTCGTGTATACAAGGGCTGTGTATACAAGGGTCGTGTACACAGGCCTCGTGTATACAAGGGCTGTGTACTCAAGGGTCGTGTATACAAGGGTTGTATACAGGTTCCATTCGTTGTTCATTGTTTACACAACTGTGGCCACGAGGGACGTCCGGGCCACAGTGTGTAAACTTTTATTTTATTTCCAGAATCTGGTTTTTGTGAGCTCTTTCCATAACAAAATGTGAACCTTAATATACACACTAGTATATGTTGTCCAAAGGCCTCTCGTGTGCAACATATGCTGCCTTATAGGACGACCAGTGAACAACACGATTGTATACAAAACAATAAATAATCACCTAACATAATTTTTCCTTGTATTTGCTTAGTCTTAATGGGTTCTTCAGCCGTGTAGCAACTGCGTCTCTTTGATATGATGATGATAAAGATTAATCCACCTAAAAGGTGGCACGGGCATGAATAGCCCGTAAGTGGCGGCCCTTTTGAGCCATTACCAGTATCAAGAGCTGATACTGGAGATCTATGGAGGTGCGACTGCACCCTGCGTGACGGGAAATGTCTCCCGTGTCTCTTTGATAAGAGTTGTGGTATATATATATGTTCGTTCCAAGGTACCAGGAGCTGCAATAGACTCGCGTCCCGATAGTAAGGTTCATCCAGATATCATATCCCGCTTGCTCCAGACACTACGGCACACCTGCACCGACCAAAGAATACACCTGTACGATCAACGACAACACAGATTCAGCAGGAGACAGCTTTTTGAGCAGTCAGTAGCATCAGCAAAGCGCCCAGCTGATTACCGTGAGCTGTACCATCAGCTGTCCACTGTCAGCTATTTACCGTCAGCTGTCCACCGTCAGCTGTTTATCGTCATCTGTACAGTTTCTTCAACATGACCATGCGGCTGCTGCTGGTGTTCCTGTCGGTAGGAATATTCACTTATATATAAAAATCCACGTATATATTAAAGAATAGCCCTTTATATGTGGAATATAAAATTATTTAATCGTAATTTACATTTTTTTAGTGGTATTTTGGGGGCTAAGACTTTGTTTACATCTGTATAGGTGAACGCTTAAATCTATCACTCGGTATGTCTGTCTTGTATATTAGAATGTCTACTTAACGTGTCCATACAAAAACAGTTTATCTTCATCAAAGTACGCAGCAAATATTTTAATATGTAATAGCTCGGGCAAAACACAATTGGGTTTAAAAAAGCTGTTTGTCTAAAAGAAATTTTAACGTTTAGGTGCAATAAGTCGAAGAATTGAACAAAATTATTTGTTAATGTTGTGTTTAAGGAGGCCATAATGGTGGATATTAAAAAGTTGTTCAATGTCAATCAAACTTTTTTGACTAGTTGTATATGGAAGGGTTGCAACTATTCCATTTTTCAGTATCGCAGCCTAAATAGAAAGGTTTAGTTTAGCTCATTTATTATGCACCCCTTACCCATCTTGTGGGCGGTAGTGGAAAGGGTTACAGAGACACATAATAGGCTTAGGGACTGAACCCCACAATTCATTTAGCTAAGCAAGTTACAATCTTGATGAGCTAGTTACAAAATTCAATATAAGTCGTCACATCAACAATGGGTTCAAAATCGACCTCAAGTACAGGTTCTAAATTAAGCAACTGACATATGTGGAGATCTAGTGTCACAATTTATATGTTTGTCCTGCACACCGCCCCCCATCCAGTGGGCAGCGGTGGATAGGTTACAATCCCTCAGTTACTACCTACAGTTAGCAAACTGGGGATATTTGGCTAAAATTTTTGGTAGCAGATCATTTTGAATGAAATATTTACACATCGCTGGAACATTGGTTATAGAATTGTCTCTAAATTCACGTATCTTCTCGCACTCCATCACATAGTGACGGAGGGTGTGCGAATAATTTTGTTGACACAGTTTACATTTGGGCAGGTCTACATCAGCAGATAATGAGAATTCCCAGAGATACTTGTAACCGAGTCTAATCCTAGCAGTAGTAGCATCTAGAAGTCTGCTGATTTTATTGGATGATCCATAGATGTGTGGTTCCTCTTGCATGATAGTATGATGATAGATGGAATTACTGGTGTCAATTTCACTTTGCCTCAGATCTACAAGATCTTGTTGAAGTTCTCGGTGTAATGCTGCTCTCAGATTGCACATTGACAATCCAAGGTTACACTCAACGGCTCCTTTAAAGGCAGATTCTTTGGCTAACTTATCAGCTCTATCATGCATTCGGAGGCCAACATGAGATGGAGACCACATGAAATAGACTGTCACCATCCTTAATAATATTGTTGTATTTGTGTCTAGCTTCGGACACGAGCATGTTACAGTTATGTCTTAAAGAGTTGAGAACATTTAAGAATGATACGGGAGGAAGAAATGTAGATAAGATGATGATGATATATATATATATATATATATATATATATATATATATATATATATATATATATATATATATATATATATATATATATATATATATATATAAGATGATAAGGGAGAAATAGAAAGGGAGAATTTTTTTCAACGACTTTTACACATTTTCAAACATTTACTACAACCACAAGTTTCTAATGAAATCATTTCTATGACACTCTTCTATCACATTAGCATATAATATAGTTTTTTTCTAACGGGATTTTCCAAAATATGTTTAGCTTTACTAATACAAATAGTCAAAAGTTCCCCCCACAAAATTATTCAAATATATCACGCTTATTTCTATTTATAAAATCAATAAATGAACTTAGGAAAAAATACGTCATACCCATGGTAGAGACATAAATTCTACATATAAGGTGTAAGTTTCATGTAAATTTAATAAAAAATTTAAAGAGTAGAAGTTACGTTTATGTTACTTAGAAGAAAGTAATGAAGAAAGGAAGTCTAAGGTGCTGCCATCTGTGGCTGAGGTTGACATCAACCAATTTCCTCCGAAATTGGCACCGTTACATATAGCAGTCAGGTGTATAAGTTTCATGCAAATCGCCAGATAAACAAATAAGAAAAAAAAATTAACTAAATTTTCTTTTGGATAAAACTAATTATTATTTTTTATATTATATGCTACTGTAATTTCATGATTTCAGTTGACACTTGTGTTTGATGTTAATTTTTTACCATTTTCGAAAATCGTTGACATGTAATTAAATATTTTATTTTCCCTTCCTATTTATGCTACAATGCTGCTACTTGGACCAGTTGAAGTCAATTTCATATACAACTAGTCAAAATAGTTTGATTGAAATCGAACCAGTTTTCAATTATTGCATATTTAGCATTATGCCCCCTAAACGTTTTTGCGATGTTTCTCTCAATAACAAATTCAGGAAACTATTCCCTTGATTACCAAAAACAATGTCAATAGAAAAAACTTTAAAATCAATGTTTCTTGTTATTTTTCTGAAGAAAATTGATTAGATATAATATCTTGAGAGAGGGAGTTGTAGAGAAACCGAGTGTAGGGTGTCAGGAAGACAGATGTACTCACCTTGTTGTACTCACCTAGTTGTGCTCGCGGGGAACGAGCTTCGGCTCTCTGGTCCCACCTCTCAACAGTCAATCAACAGGTGTGTACAGGTTACTCAGCCTATTGGGCTTTATCATATCTACTCTTGAAACTGTGTATCGAGTCTGCCTCCACTACATCACTGCCTTATGCATTCCATTTATTAACTACTCTGATCCTAAACAAATTCTTTCTAATGTCTTTATGGCTCATTTCGGCACTCAATTTCCACCTGTGTTCCCTAGTGCGTGTGCTCCCTTGTAATAAATAAACTGTCTCTGTCTACCCTATCAATTCCTTTGAGAATCTTGTATAACCCTAACTCCCCTGTCTTCAGGCGACGTGAGGTTTAATTCCCGTAGCCTCTCCTCATAGCTCATGCCCCTCAGTTAGGGCACTAGTCTGGTGGCAAACCACTGAACCTTCTCCAATTTAGTTTTATGCTTGACGAAATATGAACTTCCTTCTGAAGCTGTACACTCCAGGATTGGTCTGACATACATGGTTTACAAGGTTGTGAATGCTTCCTTACACAAGTTTCTAAAGGCCGTTCTTATGTTGGCCAACATGGCACTTGGCGCTGATGTTATCCTCTTGATAACGGCTTCTGGGTACAGATCTGGCGTGATACCAACCCCCAGGTCTTTCACTCTCTCCGATTATTGAAGAATTTCAAAGATTTTCACACAGAGGAGTCGCGGAATGTGGGGTATGAGGGAGTAAGCTGTAGAGAAGCTGAATGTTGGGTATGAAGGAGTAAGCTATAGAGAAGCTGAATGTGGGGTATGAGGAAGTAAGCTGTAAAGAAGATGAATCTGAGGTATGATGGAGTAAGCTATAGAGAAGCTGCTTGTAGGGTATGACGGAGTAAGTTATAGAGAAGCTGTGAGTGGGATATGAGTGAGTAAGCTGTGGAGAAGCTGTTTGTAGGGTATGAAGGAGTAAGTTATAGAGAAGCTGTGAGTGGGGTATGCGGGAGTAAGCTGTAGAGAACCTGTGTGTGGGGTATGAGGGCGTAAGCTAAAGAGAAGCAGTGTTGGGTATGAGTGGGAGTAAGCTGTAGAAACGCTGAATGTGAGGTATGAGCGAGTAAGCTGAGGAGAAGTTGAATGTGGGGTATGAGGGGAGTAGGCTTTAGAGAAGTTGTGTGTGTGGTGAATGAAGGAGTTAGCTGTAGAGAAGCTGAATATGTGGTATGAAGGAGTAAGCTGTAGAGAAGCTTTGTGTTGGGTATGAGGGTGCAAGCTATGTGAGAGTTTGGATAGTGGAATAAGTAAAATAGTTGAAGAATTGAGCTCGGAAAATTTCTAAGAATTTTCTTTGATTCTTTAACTTTTATTCCTGCCGTGATATTCAATTAGGTCGCCTGAGGAAGGACTTGCTTAGCTAACACACCAGTGTAGTAAGCAGCTCATTCCTCACTCTGGGTCCGTTTATTAACAATTGACTAGGCGCGAGCAAACGCAGAGACCTCCAAAAGTTGAAATCCCCTCCACTCTGTCGTCGACCTTCGCAAATCGCCGAAGCGAATCTTACGAGTAGGTCCTGGCTTTCACAACCATAATTTATATCTGTGTGGTGCCGTATATATAGTCCAAAACCCATGAATCAGTCTCAATTTTAATAGTCGAGTGCGACAGTACACTTAAGGAACCATATAAATGTGTGGGGTGTAACGAAAAGACAGTGGTCAACATAACAACTTAGTTTATTCAATAAAGTACTAACTACTACAACAAAACAAAAGAAATATCAATGACGTTACTCGAAATCCTTCCTGTGACACTATCAAAGACAGCTAGGAACCAGCCCCTCTGACTGCATAATGAACTAACTCGAACATACGGTGTGAACACAGAGGAATCAATCAAGAAACAAACTAACAGATCAATAATCACAATTACAACATATGACACAGTAGGTTCTGAGACACGTCTCCAGTAACCTCCTAACTGTTTTACGCCTCTGTGCAGTCTACACCTGCAATAGCGGTTGCAATGCAATCAAATCAGTAGCCTGTCAATGACATCAATGACTAATGGGTTCACTGGCAACTCCAGCAACCCTTCCACAATTAATCTTTACGTTAACACTTCGTCTCACGGACGATCAACAATCAAAAACAATTTGATTTACGTTAATAACCAGATAACATTTACGTTGATTTAATAACTCTTACAAGTGTCACTACTAATGCGGAAATTACACAACACTCTACCCGTCGAGCATTTAGTGAGTAAATCCCATTAATCCCTGTACTTCCAGACAGCTGATTAATCTCTTTACTAGTTACGTTAATTTACGTTATCGGTTACAATCACTCAACGATGGTAAACTCTGATTTACAATGTCCAACGTGCTAAGAGAACGGTAATCACTCGTGATTACCTTTAGAGTAATTAATTAC